CGCCCGCGCCCACTCTCAGAGGGCCACAAGCCGACGGTGGCGCAGGAATCCCCAGGTCCGGCGGATCCCTGCGGCGGTGCTCGGCGGTGCTCGGCGGTGCTCGGCTGCAGTGCACGGCGGCGTGGAAGGCCCCAGACTCTCCATGGGCCCCACCACGTTCCATCTTTCCACCTTGGGCGGAGGCTTTGCTCAAGAATGCGCTCCTGCATCTAAGGGACCATGCTGTGTCCCCTCTTCCAGGAAGCGTCCCTGGCTGCTTCGGCTGGCAGGACATCTCCTCCTCAGGTCCCCCCGCGTGCAGACCCCGAGGGCCTGGCCTGGCGCCACACCTCTCCGGGTCCCCAGAGGGAGGTGCCGTGTTGGAAGAGGACACCTTAGGCCTGGCGTAGGGGGCGAAGGGTTGGGGGCGAAGACAGACCCAATGGGAAGGGTGTGCACACAACAGGTGGGCGGGAGAGCAGAAAGCGGAGCCGTGCCTGAGAAGCTGGGCAGAGCCCAGGGACAGGGGCTTGAAAGTTCCCCATGGGCCAAGCGGTGAGTCTCCAAGGCCAAGTCCTCCTCCTCCTGGGAGCCCTCCTAGATTCCCTTCTCCTTGGCTGCGTGGGGCCGTGGCTGAGGCAGAAGGATCAGGTCCTAGGCCAGCTCCCGCTGGGCCTCTGGGAGGCGTGCTAATTACTGAAATTAACCTGTTGCTGATGAGGAAACCCAGGGCAACTGGCGGAGGTGGCAGAGCCAGCCGCCTCCTCCCTGCCTCTCAGGAGCTCCAGATGAGACCCCTCCACCACCCTTTGGGATTTTGAGACTCTGCCCCTCAACCCAGGCTCAGTGGGTGGCTCCTTGTCCCAAGGTCTCAGGTGCTGGAACACAGGGCAGGTGACCCGCTGTACTGAGTGGGTGGCAACTCTCAGCAGCTCAGAGAGGCTGTGGGGGAGGGGCCAGAAAGAAGCCCCTTTGGGTGTGAGGGACCCAGGATCCCCGCTGGCTTCTTTGCGGTCAGTGGTGAGGCCAGGGTATCCTGGGGTCTGAGGGTGGGTTGGCTGTGGCAGGGTGGAGGGAGGGCAGGGCAAGGACCAGCTGGCAGGGGGGAGCAGATCGCTGGACCCCCGGCGGTGGGGGAAGAGCAAGGCTCGTTGCGTAGATTCACAGGCTGAAAGTGGGGAGCGGCTCCGGGTTCCCGGGTGAGAGGCTGGGGCCATCGCCCAGCTGGCAGGAGCTCCCCAGGGAGCACCTGGGGAGCAGGGCTAGGTCCTGGGAGCTGGGGTTCAGAGCCTGGGGGAACAGTGGCATGAGACTGCTCCTCACGCCCCTCCCAGCCTCCCCTGTGGCCTGGCTGGCGAGGCCTGGGCGCGCCCAGCTCCATGGAGTTGGCAAGGATCAAAGGGCGGAAAGCCGTCCTCCGCCCTCGCCCACTGAGACAGGAATCTGTGGCCCCGGGGGACGGAATCCACAGCCACATTCCGGGTGCCCTGATCGCCACAAGGCGAGGGTGGGGCAGGGCTGGAGCGCCGAGGCTGGCACCATGGAGCGTGGGAACACCGCTGCTGCCAGCACCCAGGCAGGCGACACCCTCCGCCGGCTGGGGCTTTAGCCTTCACTCCTCTGCCCTCCTTTGAGGGCCTAAGTGGGGTCCAAACGGGATCCACACAGCGAGGGGCCTGGGTCTTCGCTGCTCACAGCAGGGGGCTGGTCACCCTCGCTACGTAGGGGGACACAGCCCTGGCCTCCACCAGGCACTCTGCGCTAGCGGACCCTGCCCCGCCTGGGCCAACAGAGGCCTTGGGAAGGAGAGGGTATTGGTGGGCCCCCCCAGACAGGGGACACGCTGAGCGACAGGATCCTGGCACCCTCCCATGTGCTCGCACACGCACACACTCAGCCTGCGGCGACTTGCTCTCTGGCAGGAAGGCAGCCTTGCCTCTGTCCTGGTTGCAGTCCCAGAAGCTCCCTGGGAGGGTCTGTCCCCCTGTCTGTCAGCCCCGGCTGGAGCAAGGCGGAAGTGCCCTGCAGACCCCTTCCCCGTGGGTGCGAGGCCCCTGGCCGAGGGGGTGGAGCCCTGCTCCCGAGGGGCGGCAGAGACTAGCCAGGCTCGAGCTGGAGGCAGGGCCCAGCGCTCTGTCCAATAGTCGGCCCTGCCCAGCCAAGCCAGTGCTTCCCACCCCCACTCTGCAGGTGGAGAGACTGAAATCCAAAGAGGACAGGTGACGTCCCCAGAGTCACACAGCCAGGTGCAGGCAGCACAGCAGGTTCGAGGTGGACTTGGAGAAACCCTGGAGGCCCAAACCTTGTTCTCCTGAGAGCCAGGACGGCGGCACCCCCTTCTCTGGCCTGTTTCCTCGCCTGGGGAGGGGCTCCAAGTAACCACCCGGCAGAGCTCTCAAGAAGCCCCAAGGCACGAGCCCAGTCGGCCTCTTCCGCCAGCAGTACCCGGCCCCCAGTCCCCGCTCCCAGCCGAGAGGCTCTGATGCACCCAAACCCCACATCTGAAACATGGCGCCCCCTGGTGGCCACCAGTGGCATGAGGCCACCTGTCTTCTGCCCTGGGGTGAAGGACCGGCTTTTACCAAGTGGGTGAGAAAGGACCTGAAGAGTGGAGGGGGAGGGGGCGAGCCAAGGGGAAGGTGCTTTGGGGGCCACAGGGCAGTGGGGCTGCTGGGCCAGAGTAGCGTCCCTGGGAGCTGGTCCATGTAGGGGAGGCTGCGGACGCCAGGTCAGGAGCTTGGAGCAGATCCTGTGGGCAGTTGAAGGCCATCAGGGCTGAGGGTCACTGTTCCCTGAGGGATGGCTGCCGGGGAAGCAGGAACTGGGGCAGGATCTGCATGTGAGAGGAGGGTGGCCCCCGCAATGGGGTTTACAGCCCCCCCAATAGATGGCTCCCTAGGCCCTAGTGGGGCTCAGCTGTGGTATGTGGTCAGCTTGAGGCCTCTGCGGGCCCACGCTGGGGAAGTGCTGGCCAGGCCCTGAAGCCTTCGGGAGATGGCAATGCCTGCCGCTCTTTAGACTTGAGTGCTGGGTCACTCTGGGAGGTCCACCCTGACCCTAACTTGTCCCCTGAGGCAGCTACCAGAGCACAGGTCTGGGAAGCCCAGTCAGTGTTTGTAGAATGGGACTTTGATGGGGGAGTGAAACGGTGGCGTTTCTTGGTGGGGCTCCCAGGCCAGCCTGGCTTCCTGCTGGCCACGCTGCCCTGGCCTGAGGTCTGGCTGCGTGGGCCCTATGCCCCCTCTCCTGGTCAGAGGCGACAGGCTGTAACAGTCAGGGGCTGAGGGGTCTGGGGTAAGAGGGACGAGGCTGGGGTGGATGGGACTCAGGGTCATCTGCTGGCCCCCAAACCCCGGGGGTGAAGAGAGGGGCCATGAAATGTGGGGGTCAGGCCAAGATGGGGCAGGCCAGTCCATGGGGCTCTGCTGGCCTAGGGGTCTAGGGCTGGGCTAGGGTTCAGGGACAACTCCTGCCTGGTCTCTGGGCACAGGGCAAAGGGACAAGTCGTGGCTTGTGGCCCCTACTCCATCCAGCACTGGGAGGGCAGTGGGGTGCGGGGCAGGGCCGCGGCATGGAAGCAACCCTGGGCCCTGGGCAGGGAGAGGAAGCGGCTCGCCCTACCTCAGGGGCATTCCAGCATCCCCCAAGGAGGGGGCGCCATGCACCCTAGGACTCCTGGTTCTGGTGGTGACAGTCCCCCTGCAGGCCACAGCTCCCCAGAATATCTGCCCAGAGGACTCATCCTCCCTGGACGGGTCCATCCCAGGCCTTTGGTGTCTGTGGCCAGCGCCGTCCAGACTGTGCTTCCTGTGGCCGCCTCCCCTCCCTGGGCTCAGTTGTCACCAGAGCCCTGAGGGACCTCTTGGCCTGGAGAATAAGCTGTGCCCCAGGCCACAGGCCTGCCCTCCCACCACACAAACCTGGACCCCCATATGGCAAAGTGGTCTTTGGTGGGGGTGACCTGGGGAGGGGGGAAGGGACGGTTAAGCTGCGGGGGTGCCCAGTGTCCCAAGGTGCAGCTGACACCCGTGACTCTCCCCGAATTTGCACCCCATTACTGAGCCATCCTGACACTGTCCCAGACACCTATTCTGTGTCCGCTCCTGGAATCCTGAGGAACTATCCAATGATGGAAGGAACGCCCTTGGCACAGATGGGGACACAGAGGCACGGAACATCTGGTAACGTGCCCCAGGCTGCTAGGATTCAGACCAGTTGTCCGGTGGCTGTGGGC